GCTTTTTTCTTTTTGCTTATGTGGTGCTGAGGAATTGAACCCAGGGCCTCAGGCATGCAAGGCAAGCGCTCTACCACTGAGCCAACTTCCCAGCCCATGATTTTTTTTTTTTTAAAAGCATTTCAGCAAGAGCCCTCAAACCACTCTGTGAATGTGAACTGTTGTTATTCTCATTTACTAGCGAGGAGAACAAAGGATCCTGGCTTGCCAGGATCACTTGTTAGTAAGTAAAGAATCGGACCAAAAACATTATCTTGTGATAATAAATCCCATGTTTTTCTTTTCTGACTGCATAGTATTATTATACTCTAGAGTAAGCGTTCAAACATGAAGGGAATTTTGCCTGCCTTTCTGTTGGCAGGATTGCTGCCAAGATCTTTGAACAATGGGAAAATGTTAGCTGAAATCGTCACTGCAGAAGAGATCTGAACACAAAGTTAGAGCCTCTGGCTTGCTGGGAGCACAAATTTACTTCTCCAGGCACATTCTGGACTTGTTATTAATGCAAACCATTTCCCCAGGCTTGAGGAGCTCCTCACATAATGGAAGGAAGATGAGAGAGAGAGAGACAGAGACAGAGAGAGAGACAGAGAGACAAGAGACAGAGAGACAGAGACAGACAGACAGACACACACACACAGAGACACAGATTTATAACACAGATGGTTGGCTGGCTATGGCAGGGAAGCTTGGTTTTGTTCCCCACTGTGAACTGATAACACAAATCCTCCATTTTCCAAGATAATATAACTATATCTCTTTCAGAGCAGGCTTGCCAAGCTATCATCTAGACAGACCCCTCTGCACACACCTGCACCCTGGAGTTTCCCTAGCTCTGACTGCCCTCTTAGCTTCAGCTGGGCAAGAGCAATGGAGTCAGGTGACCCCAAGGCCACTGAACCCCAGATACCCTGAGTCAGGACCACTGAGCCTGTATCTGGTGAGGGTGTGGCTTTCCTTTAGTAGGAATGCCCAGTGGGGGAGGGCCACAAGGGTTGCTTCAAGAAAGTAAGTAAAGGCTGACAAATGGCATGATGCTGTTTCCTGAGTTTTTTCTTTTTTGGTGTTGGTTCTGGGGCTTGAACTCAGGGCTTACACACTGTCCCTGAGCCAGTGCTCTACTACTTGGGCCACAGCTCCACTTCTAGCTTTTTGGGGTAGTTTATTGGAGATAAGACTCTCATGGACTTTCCTGCCCAGGCTGGCTTTGAACTGCAATCCTCAACTCTCAACCTCTTGAGTAGCTAGGATTACATTCGTGAGCCACCAGCACTCAGCTTCCTGAGTTTTCTTATAATCAGAACAGGAGCAGCCCACTCATTGTTACCACTGAATGTGCTTCTTCTCAGAAACAACTGAACTGAATTTTGGAGGGGATGTTGTGCTGAACAAGAGATCTGGAGTTAGGAGATCTGAGTTCTAGTCCTGGCTCTGCCACTGACGCTCCTGGTAGTTTGAGGGCATCACTTTCCCTCTGTGCCTGGGACCCATCAAGTCTATCCACAGGGGTGAGGCTGGACCCCTGCCATCACTCCTTAGGTCCCAGATTCCAGTGCTAATACTCGGAATCCCTGACATCATGGTGTCTGCAGGTGGATCCTTTGGGAAGTGGCCATTCTCTTTGTGCTGTCTCTCCCTGTCAGAGATGCTGGCTGGCTGGAAGTCAGGGGAAAGCCCTGACTGAAACCCAACTATGCTGGCACCTGACCTCAGACTTCCATCCTCCACAACTGCTAACTGTGGGAAATTCATGACTGCGGTTAAGAAACAATACCTGTTTATGCTATTTGTCATGGCAGCCTGAGCCCTGGGAGGCCAAGCTAGAGCCACAGGCCAGGACAGGCCTGGCATATCTGCCTGTGGTAGCTGGACTAGGAGTATGGCCAGCCAGATTCCCAGGGGCTCTAAGACTTGGGTCTCAGCTCCCCATCAGCATCTCCCACAGCCAAAAGGGAGGGTCTTTCCCAGGAGAGACACTGCATTCCTGAGGCTCAAGGCCTCAAGGCCCTTGCAAGCTGGTACATCTCTGAGGCCCTTCTAAGGAAAGTGGGCCTAGTCCTCGGAGATTGGTGTCCACACCTCCATGCAGGGAGCTCTCTCCGGGCCCCACCTCAGTGTGGAGATGTCTGTGGTGGGGAGGAAGGGACCCTAACATGAGTAGCTTGGAGATTTAAGGCACCTCACAGTTTCACAAAGCACTATCACTAATGCCTCTCCCTGAACTGCACTAGGGCCTGAAAGGAATGGCGATTTCAAGTTCCTTCAGACCCAGAAAAGGGCAATTCCCTTGGCTAGGATAGAAGTACTAAGATTTTTTTTTTTGGGGTCCAGTCATGGGGCCTGAACTCTGAGCCTGGGCGCTCTTCAGCTCAAGGCTAGTGTTCTACCACTTGAGCCACAGCGCCACTTCCGGCTTTTTTCTTTTTGCTTATGTGGTGCTGAGGAATTGAACCCAGGGCCTGCGCATGCAAGGCAAGCGCTCTACCACTGAGCCACCTTCCCAGCCCTAGAAGTGCTAAGATTTAAATCTGGGCTTTGCACTCCCAGCTCAATACTCCCTACGCTCTGCCCCGCTACTTCTCACACGCCTGCAGAAGTGGGCTGGGCAGGGGAGCAAGTGGGAGGGTCCCACCAACCCTGGCAGGGAGTGGCCCCCAGCCAGGAGGACACCCCTCCCGGAGGCCACACTGATGACGGGCTAGGTTTCTGCAGCTGGGCTGCGGTGCTGGGCTGCGGTGGGGAGGCAGGACAGGCTGGAAGGCACAGTCTGCTCAGAGAAAAAAGCCTGCAGGGACAACAGGGTCTGGGCTGATCATGTGGAGGTGGGGCTCTCCACATGGCTGGATCAGGAAATTCATTCTGGGAGACAGTGAGGAGCCCTTAAAGGTTAGTAGGTAGCGTATATGGATGCATGCATCTGAGGGAAGCTAGGAGGAAGACTCAGAATCAAAGAAAAATGGGAAAACATACAACAGAGGGGCCCATCAGCTGCACTGGACATAGATGAAAATGAACTAAGCCACTCAAAGGCAGCAATGGGAGGGAGGGAACGAGAAAGAAAGAGGGAACAGCTCACACTAAGGAAAAGGAAAGAAAAGTAAATATCACCTGATGTGGAAGGAACAGTTGTATTGTCAAAGCTCATAGAATTTATAGACCATGATAATGACCATTTGCCCTGTGAAGGTTAAAATGTGTTTGTGACTTTAACTAAGTATCACTACTCCACAATACTGTGAAATATAAAAAAAATTCTGGGAGCTGGGAAGGTGACTTGGTGGTAGAACGCTTGCTTTGCATGCATGAGGCCCTGGGTTCGATTCCTCAGCACCACATAAGCAAAAAGAAAAAAGCCGGAAGTGGCGCTGTGGCTCAAATGGTAGAGCGTTAGCCTTGAGCTGAAGAGCTGAGGGACAGCGCCCAGGCCCAGAGTTCAGACCCCACGACTGGACCCAAAAAAACAAAAATTCTGGTATAGGAAAAACAAAAAAAGTAAGTAGGCAGGGAGTGGGTAAAGGACCGTGGGTCAAAAGACTAGTCCAAGGGCTGGGAAGGTGGCTCAGTGGTAGAGTACTTGCCTCGCATGCATGAGGCCCTGGGTTCGTTTCCTCAGCACCACATAAGCAGAAAAAGCTGGAAGTGGCACTGTGGCTCAAGTGGTAGAGTGCTAGCCTTGAGCTGAAAAGTTGAGGGATAGCGCCCAGGCCCAGAGTTCAAGCCCTACAACTGACAAAAAAAAAAAAAAAGACAACTAGTCCAATGGAAGCAAAATGTTTTTCCTTTTCTTGCTGTTTTTGTTTTCGTTTTGTTCTGTTTGTTCATTTATATGTCTTTGGGAGTGTAAGGTGAGGCACAGAAATGAAGAGATAAAGGAGGAACAAATGCAGCAATGCTATTCACTAGACACTATGTTGAAAATGAACTATACAACTTGTGAATGTGGACGGGGGCGGGGTGGAGGGGGAACTTGGAAGAGAGCAAGGAAAGGGGTTCAAAAAGAAATGTCCTCTTTACCTGATTTATGTAACTGTAGCCCCTTTGTACATCACCTTTATAATAACAGTATTTTTTAAAGTTTCTAATTAAAAAAAAAAAAAGGATGACTATCCTCCATCCACTCAGTCATTCACTTTGTTGAGCACAGGCCAGACTCTGGGAACTCAAATGGGTCATAGCTTCTATGATCTCTGACCTCTGACCTCTGACCTGCAAGAGCCCACATACCAGTGTACTACCACTCCATGCACATCAGGCTTATGGAGACTTTTTTGGTGCTGGGATGCCCAGGTACAAAGTCTATTTCAGGGAAACTTCTGGTGGGGGAGGAGACCATCCACCATTGCCCTCTTGAGGCTGAGTGGGAGGGAGAACAGGCTCTGTGCTACAGGGCTCACTTCATCTCAGGGAACTAAGAACCTGGGTTCAGGCTTCAGAGGACTTGTGGAAGGTGAGTGAAGGCCTTCAGATCACGTGGCCGTGGCTGGGAGTGGAGGCTCCCTTATCTACCGAGCTACTAGGCATGACTGACCTGAGCTGGCAATGCACCCACTGCCCAGCAGGCTTTCTGAAAAAGGTCAGTCATGTCAGCTGGCTCCGTGTCATCTGGCAGAGGGCTGGGGAACAAATCCCAACCCCAAGTTACTGCAGCCACAGTGAAAACTTAGCCCATTATTATAGAACAAAGCTGTCAGACTGAGTCATACAGAGCAGACAGAGTCTTCAGTGAGAAGGCTGCTCTGGTGGGTAAAATGTATTTCTCATGCACTGTTCTGATGCATTTGATTCCCTTACAAGGGCTCATAGAGAAATACCAGAACATACTTTTTGTTTTTGTTCCAGTACTGACTGGGGCTTGAACTCAAGGCCTTGGTGATGTCCTTTAGCTTTTTTGTTCAAGGCTAGTGTTCTGCCATTTGAGCCACAGCTCCATATCAGGTTTTTTGGTGTTTTATCGGAGATAAGACTCTCCCAGACTTTCTTTGAACTTTGATCCTCAGATCTCAGCCTCCTGAGTAGCTAAGCTTACACCACTGCCTGGCCAAAATGTACTTTTTACTGCATTATTGAGCCTTCACTCATGCGAATGCCCACACTGTAACTGAGGGAGCAGTAAGAGGCATAACTCACACGTGGGGAAGGCAGAAAAATCAGATGAGGCATGGCTTTGGAAGTGTCTGTGAGAACTTTTTGAAAGTCTTGTATTCACCTGATCGCTAGTTCTTGCTGATCACAGTAAAGAGAAGAACAAAGGAAGGCATGGGTATGGGTAGCCTATGCTGATGGAGACATGAAACCCCTTGCATCTACTTTCTGCACCCTGTGCCCAGTCCTGGCTTGGCAGCAGCTGTCTGTGAAGCAGCTGGGCAGGGAGCCACAGCAAATTGTGACTTGGATAACCCATTTGCCAAGATCCAAGACTGTCCCAGGCTGGGGAAATATGTCCTCATGAGTGACATAGAGATCTAGCTGTATGGTAAGCTCATCTTCCCCGTGTGAACTGATGCTACAAAATGTGCATCAAGCTGGATGCTGGTGGCTCATGCCTGTAATCCTAGCTACTCAAGAGCCTAAGATCTAAGGATCGTGAGACTCTTATCTCCAATTAATCACCAGAAAACCAGAAGTGGTGCTGTGGTAGCGTGAGCACCCTGAGCTGAAGAGCTCAGGGACAGTGCCCAGGCCCAGAGTTCAAGCCCCACGACCGACAAAAAAAAAAATGGGGCTGGGAAGGTGGCTCAGTGGTAGAGCGCTTGCCTTGCATGCCCTGGGTTTGATTCCTCAGCACCACATAAGCAAAAAGAAAAAAGCTGGAAGTGGCGCTGTGGCTCAAGTGGTAGAATGCTAGCCTTGAGCTGAAGAGCTGAGGGACAGCGCTCAGGCCCAGAGTTCAGGCCCCACGACCGGACCCCCCCAAAAAAAGAAAAGAAGACAGATAGGGGAAAAACAAAGGAGGGGGTAACAATGCTCGATAGGAAATGTACTCATTACCTTATTCATGTAACTGTAACCCCTCTTTATACAGTATCTTTATAATTAAAAATATGTATTTATAAAAAGAAGACAGGTATAAGAAGCCCATGGCTTTGGAAGCTAGAAAGTTCAGACGTTTGTGAGAACCTGATTCTACTTCATGCTCTGGTGAATAAGTGCAAGGGCACCAGGCTATGGAAAGGCAAGGAAAAGGGGCGGCTTGTCCCACTTTATAACAATCACGACCCATTCTCTCTTCATAACTAATCAGTCCCTTGAGAATTAACCCGCTCCAACTTAACAATCTCATCCCCTCCGAAGGGCTCCATATCACAAAGCCATAATGGTAACCAACTTTCAACATGAATTTCAGAGAGGACAAGTCATACTTAAACTTCAGATCATGCTAAGAGTGTGTTTTTGTTTGCTGGTTCTGGGGCTTGAACTCTGGGCCTGGGCACTTGTCCCTGCTCAGCGATGTCCAGAGAAAGGACACAGACAGGTGCACGTTGCCACTCCCACACCCCTGGAGCACCTGTGCCAAATCCTGTTTGTCACCAGACCTCACCCGCAGTGAGACTCACGTGCACAGGTCTTCCCATCGCTGCGGAGCACATGTCCCTCTGGACACTGACAGGCAAAGGACTTGTCCGTGTTGACACAAGAATATTCACAACCATGGTTGCTGAGCAGGCAATAATCCACTCCTGCAAAACCAAAATCCAGGTGAGATCCCCAGGCCACTGTCGGCGAGAGCTCCGGGAGCGGATGATGCAAAGTAAGTGACTGACAGTTTTCCACCCTTGGGAGCCTACAAGGGGTTTCCCTCTCCTTTCCCCAGACAGAGCAGAGAGCAGAGGAAAGAGGATCAGGCCTGGCCTGCTCTTCCCTGCAATGGCTTCACATTTTTACTACCATTGCAAATGCTTACTGGCCAGAGAGGTACAAGGGGAACTCACGGGAGCAGGTCTTGAGGTCATCGTTGATGAGGAAGCCCTCGGAGCACTGGCAGACGAAGGAGTCCTCTGTGTTCAGGCACAGCTGTTCACAGCCGTGGTCCTGCTGTGCACAGTGGTCCACCCCTGCGTTGGTCAAATACACACACAAGCATGAAGATGACTGAAGGGGAATGTCCCACCAGCCTGCCCAGAGGCCAAATGAGCCAATGGAAAGGAAGGTTCTATTCCATCCCACGCCCCAGCTTCTCTGAAAATCAGTCTTGCTGGTTTGTCTCCACACATCCTTGTTTGAAAAGTGAAGTTTATAGATAACTGCAATGACTGGGAAATGTCCTGGGGTGATCGTGACACCAGCACTCTGGGAGAGACAGATGCTTCCATCTGTCTCCATGTTGAGAGATGTTGGGAGCAGGTGTGGTTCCCATTTCAGAGAGGAAAAGGAGGCCCAGGAAAAGAATAGCGCTTGCCCTAAGCTGTACAGCAACGGGGCAGAGCTTAAGAGCGAGGGTTCTCTGTCATCAAATTCCTACCACTTCCTAGCTGTGGACAGTGGGCAGTCACTTGGCTTCTCTGCGCCATCATTTCCTGGCTGGAGAAATGCAGATGGCAATGGTGAGAAGCTCCTAACAGTAGCTGTCAGGCAGCAACCATTTAATACATGGCTATTATTATGACCAAGTAGTGCAAAAAAGAATTGTGTAGTTTCATTTCTACTGGAAAATAAAAAAGAGAAAGTGATTTTAGAAAATTCTCATCAGCAGGACAATCAGAGTCAGAAAACAAACAAAGCCTGGGCTGCCTGTGTGGGCCATCCTGGCACCCAAACACCTCACAGCTGGTCCCAGGGTAGCCAGGGCTGAAGGCCAGCAAACACAGAGCGGTGGTGGACAGTTCCCACGAACAGCCCTGTGGGCTGCCTTTTAGATTTCCTGGAGGGAGAAAGTGCATCCTTAGAGACTGCACAGACACTAAAGGCCTTGTATGGGGCCCACCAAGTAAGCCTCTTCACTGCAAGGCCTGGGACTGGCACCTTCTGGAAGATTCCACTGGTGGATGCAGCTCCTCCAAACACTGGCAGGACTTCAGGAGCCACGGGCCCATGTTCACATCCTGGTTCTGCCATTTGCCAGTTCTAGGACCCCCAGAAATTGTCTTATTTTTTGTTTGATGCCCTAGATTTCCTGTTTAAACAGGATAAGAATGTAGATAGCTCATACGGCTTATTTTGTTTGTTTGTTTGTTTGTTTTCAGTCAGGGGGTCTTGAAATCTGAGCCTGGGTACTATCCCTCAAGGCTAGCCCTCTACTACTTGAGCCATAGCGCTACTTCCAGTTCTCTGAGTGGTTTATTGGAGATACGAGTCTCCTGGACTTTCCTGCCCAGGCTGGCTTTGAACTGCGATTGTCAAATCTCAGCCTCCTGAGTAGCTAGGATTACAGGTGTGAGCCACCTGCCTGTGGTTACCCCAGGTAAGTTCACACCCAGGATTTATGAGCAGGGCAATGGAAGGCCCTGGGCTTTCCCTGAGGACTCCTAGACCAAACTGGCTTGGTTTACACTTTCTTCTTGTTCCAAGATCAGAGTTTAAACTCAGTATCTGACACTTTTGTTCTTTGGCCATGCCTCCAACCCCTTGATTTATACTTTCTAAGAGTTTTCTAAGTCTCAGAGGGAATCAGAGATTTGCGTCCCCTCTTCTGAGGTCTTTGAGGCTCCCCAAAGCATTCTGGGAGCAAAGCAGGCAAGTTGTGGCAACTTGGTGGCTGAGGGGGAAGGGGCCTGCAAAGTCACATCCAGCCTGCCCCAGGACCCCTGTCAGACAGCAGAGCAATTCTGGAAAAGACAGGATTTGCCCAGATCTATTTGCCAGTAGGCCCTTCCTCATTGAATGGAGGAGCTCATGTTCCCCACTGGCTTCTGAACCCAGAAACACCCAGAGGCAAATGCACATCAGAGCTCTGACCTCTGTCCCAACTTTCTCTGAGATTGGTCCTTAAAAAGCCCAACTGAGGCACTATGTTCCATCTGAGGACGGAAGGAGAGCAAGTAGTCCTGAGGCTGGCCCTGGTACCTTATATATCAGTGGTGAAACTTTCCTTCCTCGCAGGGTCAGGTCCAAATGCTCAACAGCTGCACTGTCTGGTTCACAATCTATCTCTGTCCTCACGGCTGGAGCAGATGTGTGGCGTGCTGGGTGGAAAGCCACACAAAGGGGTCCTTCTACGTGAGCTGTGTCACTGACCCAGCTTCCAGCAAGCCAGGGCCACAAGGATCCACCACAGCCCAACACGCTCCCACCCTGCTGGCCCACACCACGGAGACTGTGCCTCATAAAAAGCACCACAAGTATCCAGCTGGCAAGGCCAGCAAGTTCCCCTGCGTTTACATCACCAAATGGAGCTTTGTTGGGGCTCTGACACAGAAAATAAAGAGAAGGCTCCACAAAGAGTCCTATGGTTCCTCAGCTTTGCCCTCAGCCCAGCCTGAGTTCTCTCCATGAGGGCCTTGGGTCCCAGCTGAAGCCCTTCCATGTGGACTGTTATACTTGCCTGGACGTTTATCCTAGTGCTCTAGCACTAGGCTAACAGGTTGAAATGAGTCCCACAGCCAGCCCATGGGGTCTATGCTACCATCTTCTTCACTTTTTTTTTTTCTTGTCGGTTGTGGGGCTTGAACTCTGGCCCTGGGTGCTGTCCCTCAGCTCTTCAGCTCAAGGTTAGTGCTCTACCACTTGAGCCACAGCGACACTCCAGTTCTCTGGTAGCTTATTGGAGATAAGAGTCTCATGGAGTTTCCTGCCTGGGCTGGCTGGGATTATAGGCGTGAGCCACAAGTGCCTGGCTCTTCTTCACTTTGGAAAGAAGATGGGAATTCAAAGCTGGGAGGAGTCACACTACAATATGGCAGAGCTTAGGTTTGAATTTAAGTCCACCTGCCTTACTAAGTGTTTTAGTAGCTAATAATGGTAATTAACATTTATTGAGTGCTATGCCTAAGAGCACTGCTCTAAGTATGTCATGAATATTATTTTTTTTTGTTTTTGTTTTAGTACTAAGGCTTGAACTAAGAGCATGGGTGCTGTCCCTGGGCATTTTACTCAAGGCCGATGCTCTACTACTAGAGCCACAAGCCTACTTCTAGCTTTCAGATGGTTAATTGGAGATAAGAGTCTTACAGACTTTCCTGCCTGGGCTAGCTTTGAACCACTATCTTCAGATCTCATCTTCCTATTTAGCTAGGATTCCAGGCATGAACTGCTGGTGCCCAGCTCTTTTAGTTTTTATTTATTCATTTATTTTTTATTTAATTTTTTGAGACAGGATCTTGCTTTATAGCCTAAGCTGATCTCAGAATTGTGAGCTTCCTACCACAACCTCCTAAGTGCTGGAATTTCGGGCATGTGCCACCATACTGGCATATATTGATTTTTGTAAATGCTTACAACCCAACCTAGGAAGTAGGCAGTTCTAACAGTCCACCCACATGATAAAAGTGAAGATAGGAAGCTTATTTTTGTTGGTCTATCAGGCCCTCAGGAAACTCAGAAGGGCCTGTTTGCTAGAGAGCCTGGAGATGACGGGTAGACCAGACCCCACCCTCCACAATGCCCACACCCCAGTGCTCACTCACTGCTGCATGTCTTGCCGTTGGGGTCCAGGGTGTAGCCACGGCGGCAACGGCAGTAGTAGCCCTCCTCTGTGTTGACACATTCGTGCTCACAGCCTGGTTTGTTCAGTGCGCAGTAGTTGATCCCTAAGGTGAGAAAGACCTTCCTTCAGATTTTGGACCCCGCCCCCAGGAGCGCAGCTCCTACCACCTGTAAGGAAAGAGTTGGTGGGTCCTGTTTCTGAGGCAGCAATCACTAATTAGTTAATTGATTCACTTATTAACTTACCAGCCAAGTGCCAAGCTCTGAGCTAGATGTATGTGGGGCAAATAAGACCGCAGCCCCTGCTCTCAGGGGTTTGTGCACAGTGAGGAGACAGACTCAGAAAAGGAATTGCTGGACCATACAGAGGAACTGCTCACTGTGACCCTGGGATGTCAGGACAGCTGTCCCTGGAGAGGGGAAGGCCAAGGGAGCAGTGCACAAAGACCCAGGAGCAATGAGCACAAGGCCCAAGGACCGGGCTGCTCAGTGCAGGGCCCCACAAGCCTCATGGAGGAGCAATGAAGGCTGTCCCAAGTGGCAGCAAAGGTGGAGTTTACATGACCTCCAAGAATGTCTTTCAGTGGGGAAGGGAAGGCAGGTAAACTTCAGGAAACATCTGGAAAGTAAGTACTCTGTAAGACACAAGGTGGTGCACTAAAAGTGATCCTGAGGCCCGCGATGCTATCTGGATGCTTCAGTGCTGCTCCCATTCCCTTCTGATGGCCAAAGACCAGGGTGAAGCTGAATTGAGTTGTGCTGACTGTGTTGACTAGCGAAAAGCTAAGAGGTGAGGGCCACACATCCCAGTTTATGCCTTCCAAGAAAGATGGAACGGCTAAAAAAAAAATCCAAGCACTCTCTTCCTCAAGTTTGCCTGATCTGCAGCCTCAAGGTATGTAGGGAACTTCTGTCTGCAATGACATCTGATAGTACCATCCCATAATACGATGCCGATCTTGCAAAATACCCAGTTATTTAAGGGAATTAAGAAGGGTCCAAGCCAGGTCTGGTGACTTATGCCTATAATTCCAGCTACTTGGAAGGTAGACATCAGAAAAATCCACAAACAAAAAGTTTGAAGGCAATACATGCAAAAAGGAAATAAGACTCCATTTCAATAACTGTCAGGTGTGGTGGTTCACTCTGTAATCCCAGATAGCTGTATGTGAGTGTGGAGGATGGGGGGAATGGGTAAGTAGAAGGATTGTGCTCCAGGCTAGCCAAGGTAAAAATTACTTTGAAAAAATAATAATAAAAGTAATGCCAGGTGCCAGTGGCTCACACCTGTAATTCTAGCTACTTAGGAGGCTGAGGATCATGAGACTCTTACCTCCAATTATCCACCGGAAAACCAGAAATGGTGCTGTGGCTCAAGTAGTAGAGCACTTGCCTGGAGCTGAAGAGCTGAGGGACAGTGCCCAGGCCAAGAGGTCAAGCCCCACAACTGACAAAACAAAACACCAAAAATACAAAGTCCTGAAAGTATGGCTCAAATGGTAGAGTACCTACCTAGCTGGGATTATAAATGTACACCACCATGCCCAGATTTTAAATGGCCTTTATATGTGCTAATTCACAGAAGAGTTGAAACCTAAATAAGAAGACTGAAAACATGGCAATCAGTGAGTGCAAACAGGAAGCTATGATGTCGTATGAATGGCGCAGAAGAAGTCCCAGAAAAACTAGATAGATTCAAAACGATCAGTTGAAGAAGAAAGTCCTGTTCCTTCATTTGAAAATGGAAATCCAGGCTAGGTACTAGTGGATAATGCCTGTAATCCTATTTAGGAAGCTGAGATCTGAGAATCAAGGTTCAAAATCTCTGTGAGATTCCTATTTATAATTAGACCAGCAGGGCTGGGAATGTGACTTAGTGGTAGAGTGCTTGCCTAGCATGCATGAAGCCCTGGGTTCAATTCCTCAGTGCTATATAAATAGAAAAAGCCAGAAGTGATGCTGTGGCTCAAGTTCTAGAGTGCTAGCCTTGAGCAAAAGAAGTTCAGGAACAGTGCCCAGGCCTTGAGTTCAAGCCCCAGGACTGGAAAACAAACAAACAAACAAACATTAATTAGACCAGTAAAGAGCTGAAGGGAGAGCTGTGGCTCAAGTGGTAAAATGCCAGCCTTGAGCACAAAAGTCAAATGAGAGTGAGAGGCCCTGAGTTCAAGCCCAGATACCAGCACAAAAAGAAAAAGAAAAAAAATCTAGACAAGTGGAAATCAGCTGACACACAGTTGATATGACTGACACAGTCCAGACTAGATTTCACATCTCCTGGCTCAGTCGAACCTGGGAACTTCACACTGGCACCTCCATCATGGTGTTAGAACCTAGAATCCCAAGTCAAAAGCAGCCCAGATGTGATTCATCTCTGAAGTCTACTTAGACAGCCAGCCTAATTCTCTCTCTCTCTCTCCTTCCCTCTCCCTCCTTCTCTTTTTTCTCCCTCCTTCTCTCCCTCCCTCTCTCTCTCTCTCTCTCTCTCTCTCTCTCTCTTTCTCTCTCTGTTGGTCATGAAGCTTGAACTCAGGGTCTAAGCTTTGTCCCTGAGCTCTTTTGTCCAAGGCTAGCACTTTACCACTTTGAGCCACAGTGCCACTTCTGGCTTTTTGGGGGTAGTTTATTGGAGATTAGAGTTTCACAGATTTTCCTGCCCAGGCTGGCTTTGAACCCTGAACCTCACACCTCAGTCTCCTAAGAAGCTAGGATTACAGGCATGAGCCACTCACACCTGGTTTAGCCATCCCAATTTCTTTCTTTCTTTCTTTTGTTCTTTCCTCCTTCCTTCCTTCCTTTTCTTTTCTTTTCTTGCCAGTCCTGAGGCTTAAACTCAGAGCCTGGGCACTGTCCTTGAGCCTCTCTGTGATTAAGGCTAGCAATCTACCACTTGAGCCACAGTGCCACTTCTGGCTTTCTCTGTTTATGTGGTGCTGAGGAATCGAACCTAGGGCTTCATGCATGCTAGACAATCACTCTACCACTAAGCCACATTCCCAGCCCATAACCAGCCTGATTTCTATGCTTCATTTTTCTTCAGTACAATTCTGCCTTCAACTAGTTTCCAGTTTAATCAAATGCCATCAGGTTCCTTTGAAACACCAACTTCTTATTAGACTTGAAAATGGCCCATATCCACCAGCCTCCTGCTACATACAAATGGCTGTATCCTGAGCTCAACATCTGCAATGCTCAGACCACTGGAAAGAGCTCAAGCTCCTGATCACAAACCTCCAGCTGTGTGTGTGTGTGTGTGTGTGTGTGTGTGTGTGTGTGTGTGTGTGTGTGTTGGTACTGAGATTTGAACTCAGGGCTTGGGCATTATCCCTGAGCTTCTCTGGTTCAAGGCTAGCATGCTACCACTTGAGCCACAGCTCTACTTCCAGCTTTTTGGTGCCTAATTAGAGCTTAGAGTCTCATGGACTTTTCTGCCTAGGCTAGCTTTGAGCTATGACCCTCCTATCTCAGCCTCTTGAGTAGCTAGGATTACAGACAGGAGCCATCCGCCACCACCTTATAAACCCTAGATTTCAACCCCCGTTTCCAGTTGTCTCTGTGATCTGCTGACAGGGTGCAGCCATTCAGTCAGGGTAGCTCTCAGAGGCTGACCTCAGCAGCCAGACCATGGAAAAATGTAATGAGGAGGGACAGGGAGAGCATGGCTGAAGAGGGCACTGGCTTTTAGGAACAAATTCTATTTTCCCTAGATGGAAAAAATAAGGTACCTGGCTTAGAGAAAAATAAAAGCTTCCCCACTGAATTGACACAAATGAGTATTAGGGACTTTTGATTAATGCCACAGCCTACAAATAAATGGTCCAGTCTCTCGATCGAGTGGAAGTGGTAGAACTGCCATCCTTACCTCTGGCAAACTTTGGTAATCACTGCCTTGGAGGCTTCTGTTCCTCCAAGTGCCTGCCAGGACTGGGTTAGGAGGGAAGGGCAGAGATCAGGGGAATCTTAGGCCATTGGCTAGAGATACAGGTCTCCAATGTCCACTTGCCTTCCTCCCCTCCACCAGTAACACATGGGAAGCTTACAACCATAATACGTGTCTAAGTTGAACCAGCAGCAAATAACCTCCACATAAAAGCTCTGGAGCCACAAATCTGGGTCCATCTGAGACTGATTTTCCCTGGTTCAGTCCATCCCCAACATGCTCACTTCTACAAAAAAGGTGACAACAGCCCAGAGGAGAGTGGCCAAGCCAGAGCTGGCCCTGGAACACATTGTGGTCGCACGGAAAAATATTCCCTCTCATTGTCCTCACATTTTAATGCTCTCAATTAAAGTTCCTATTTAATGCTTGGAATTAACTTTTAGAAGAGACTCAGTTTCAAAATATGGGCATTGTAACCATCTGCCACCATACAAGGTCTAACTTAGAATGAGTGCTATGTGAAGATTGTGACTGGTCTAGACAGCCCACAGTATTCTAGAAAAAGCAGATGGGGAACGCTGTGAAAACAGTCCTGCCAGCCCAACACTGCTGCATACCTCACCAGGAAGGACTAGAAAAAGCAGTGAATAGGAAAATGTGTCCATCTCTAAGTAGAAGTTCCAGAAACTTCTATGGATGGCATAGTCAGGAGACCACCACAAACTCAGTATATATTAAGAATAGGCTGTGCACCGATGGCTCACATCCGTAATCCTAGCTGCTCAGGAGGCTGAGATCTGAGGATCGCAGTTCAAAGCCAGCCCAGGCAAGAAAAGCCATGAATCTCTTATCTCCAATAAACCATTCAGAAAACCAGAAGTGGCACTGTGGCGTAAGTGGTAGAGCACTTGCCTTTAGCTGAAGAGCTGAAGGACAGAGCCCAGGCCCTGAGTTCAAGACCCACAACCGACGACAAAAAAAAAAAAAGAAGAAGAATAGACTGACCATAGAAAGAGGCTTTTTGAAAAAATTTACAACTTGCATGCCATACAAAGGTCATCTTTCTAACAAGATGGAGGATTTCACTTTATAGTAGCCATTTCTCCAGGATGAGGATCTCTGGATGCCTGTTTCCTCATTCACCCATCCATCATCCACTCAGTATATGTGCAATACCTCCATGCACCAAGCACTCTGAGCAGGCCAGGGTTTGCTGATAAGAAAAAGACAGCCCCTGTCTGTGCAGCCCTTCCTGGGTGGTGTGTCTCAGGAACAGCCTGGTTTAAAGAGATCTGGTTTGGGATCCAGATTGTAGATGTGACCCCCCCCTCGTTTATCATGCCCCTCAAGATTTGACTCTCTGTACCCCTTGAGTGTTGGGGATGTCAGAGTCTTCTTTTTCTTCTTCTGCTCTATCAAAAAGGACAGCAAGGCACTGGTGGCTTATACCTGTAATCCTAGCTATTTAGTAGGCTAAGATCTGAGGATTGCAATTCAAAGCCAGCCAGGTAAGGAAAGGTTGTGAAACCTTTATCTCCAACAAACTACTTAGAAAAAGCCAGAAGTGGCACTGTGGCTCAAGTGGTAGAGTACTAGCCTTGAAGAAAAGAAGCTCAGAGACAGTGCCCAGGCCCTGAGTTCAAGCCTCAGGACTGGGGCATGCGCACGCACACGCATGCGTACACGTACACACACACACACACACACACACACACACACACACACACACACACGGACTGAACTGCAAAACACCCCCTATCCCCCATCTTTGAAGCCAGCAAATGTCTTATCTTATAGCTACTTTGGTAGCTCACCTCTGGACCCAGTCACTTCTTGGGGGTAAGGAACAGAAGAAGGCTTTATTTGGACCCTTACTTGGCTAAATAAATCCAATGGCCAGATCCAGTCTATTCTATCTCTAAAAACTGTTCCCACAATAGTATATAGTGAACAAAGTCAAAACAAAGGGCAGAACAACGTTAGTAAACACAAATGCTGAGCGCAAAGGCAATTTGCTTAAGACTTCTCAGGAGAGGAAAAGTAAATTGAGGAACATTTGGTGGAACAGGCCCCTTTCCACCAGCCTATAAAACTTACTTCTGCAGGTTTTCTTGTCTGGATTCAGGGTAAAGCCTTTCAGACAGCGGCAGGCATAGGAATTGTCAGTGTTGACGCATTCATGCTGGCATCCGTGACCAGGAGAGGCACAGTAGTCTATCTCTGGAAGGAAAGAAAGAAAGAAAAGAGAACATAAGAACACAAAGCAATACAGCTAACATAAGGATGTCCTGTCTTCATTATCTCCTAAGTGGGTAGAATGTCTGCCTCAAAGACTGAGGCCAAAGCAGGTGCCAGTGGCTCATGCCTGTAATCCTAGCTACTCAGGAGGCTGAGGTATGAAGATCAAAGTTCAAAGCCAATCCAAGCAGGAAAGCCTGTGAGATTCTCCTTTTGACGAACCACCAAAAAAGCATGAAATGAAGCTGTGTCTCAAGTGGAAGAGCACTAGCCCTGAGCAAAAAGAGTTCAGGGATAGTGCCCAGAACCAGAGTTCAAGCCCTAGGATAGCGCCCCCCTCCCCTAAAAAAAAAGAGAGACTTAGACCAGCAAGAGATGTTTGAAAAAAAGCTATTTACTTGTACAGGGACGCTGTTTCCCTGGAAGAACATCTTTTCGATGCCTTGCAAAATGTTTATGCAACAAACAAATCTGTGAACATGCTGTCTTTGTTTTGGTTCCCGCAAGAGCCACTAAAATGAAAATTGGATGGCGCCTGCTAGTCTACAGGCTGAGAAGAGAGCATTAAGGTTCCATAAGACTTAGGCCAATTAAGATGATTAAACCTTCCCTAAATCAAACTGTAAGCCACTGAAGTTCCTCACATACCAAGCAAACAGTGAAATATAAAATCATATCCTAAAAATTAGCAAGCATAGCCAGATACTAGTGGCTCATGCTTATAATCCTAGCTAAGGCTGAGATCTGAGGATCACAGTTCAAAGCCAGCCCAGGCAGGAAAGTCCATGAGACTTTTATCTCTAATTAACCACCAGAAAACCAGAAGTGGTGCTGTAGGTCAAAGTGGTAGAGTGCTAGCCTGGACCAAAAGAGCTTAGGGACAGTGTCCAGGCCCTGAGTTCCGCCCCATAATTGATAAAAGTAAAAAAATTAGAAGACATGGGATAGAAAGACACAAATATTCTGACTTTAAAAACTCCTACTTTTAAAGTCCTTAGTGTACTTTGCTGACATAAATAGTATTTTCTATCTTATGAGCATTTTCTATCAGTCTCCACAGAAATAGAGGGACAAAGGGTGAACAAATACAACTGTGGCACTCACTAGACACTGCTGAAAATGAACTCTACAACTTGTGGGTAGGGACAGGCGGGAAAGACTGGGAGACAGTGAGGGAAAGTTGACACTGTCCAAAAAGAAATGTACTCTCTACTTGACTCATGTTAACTGTAGCCCTCTGTGCATCACCTTTATAATATCAATAAAAAGGTATATACAGAAAAAAAAATTCACAGTCTCCTTTATGTCTATGTAGTGGATTAAGGCCTCTCTACCTTTCTAATACAAAAAATCCTGAACACCTAAAAGTATTCTTTCTGAGGCTTAGCTTGAGAGTAAAAGTCTTGGAACCATATGGATCCAGATTTCTACTTGTAGGTATAAACCCCAAAGACCTGAACACAGGCACCTGAACAGATATTTGCTGCCTGTGTTCATAGTAGTAGCATTACTAACAGCCAAGACTACTTGTAAGTAAAATGTCCATGGATAAAGCAAATGTGCCATACATATAACATGGAATATCAGTTAGCCTTAAAGAAGGAAATTCTGCCATATGCTGCAATACTGATGAACCCTGGAGGCAGTCACAAAAGGGCAAATACTGTAACTTCTGCTTATATGAATTACTCTACGATAGTCAAATTCACAGACACAGAAAAAGGAGGAGGGTTGCCAGGGACTGGCATGTGTGTAGATGTCAGGGAAAAGGGAGTTGGAATAATAAGGTCAGGGCTTCTGTTTGGGATGATGTAAAAAGTTCCAAGATGGATGGAGGTGATGGCTGTCTAACAAGGGGCTGGTACTTACTGCTGATGAACTTCATACTTAAGAGTTTCATGGTACAGATCTTTAGCTCAGTGAAAAATCTCACCAATACTTGGAGAGCTGATGGCAGCCATATGCTTCCATCCTCCTTCTAGAAAATGTTCACATTGGGTTGGACAGATGGCTTTAGCAGGAAGCCAAAGATGTAACTCCTCTGAACAACTAATGTACTGTTTACCAAATGAACACCAGAAAGCTGAAACATGTTTATTGGTGGGGAAGGTAGGGGTAATAGGAATGGATGGAAGGGAGGAAGGGTGAACAAATATAGTTCCTTATATTCAACATATATTGTTATAAAAGATGAACTATGTAATTGAAGGTAGGGACAGGAGAGGGAAACCGGAGGAGGAGAAATGTAGGGGTGACATTGATCAAGAAACACTGTACTCATAACCCAACTTAGGGAACTCTAACCCCTTTGTACAACTACCTGATAATGACAAAAAGATGCATTTAAAAAAAATAACACTTATATATTTTAAATTATATTACTCACTTAGGCCCATAGAGCTCAATTATGTACATTTGGGCCTAATCATAAATTAATCATGTTTGACTTATTCCGCTGACCCTTTCAGATAATAATTGCACAATTCTTAATGGGATTAGCTTTCAAATATACTTTTGGTTAAGCGTAGAGAATGAACTGTAAGGAACGGAGTGTCTTTTAAATTATTTTTTTGGAAGTGTATAAGAAATGGGACAAAAAAAAGGCAGGGGCTTCAGCATGTTAACAGTGGGCGGGCTGCCTTGGCTGGAAGTTGTACTGTCTTGGTAATTGCTAACAGGGAGGCTCTGTGGTTCTCAGCTTCCATCTCCACCCTGTGCTTCTGTCCTTGTCAAAAGTCCCTTTTTAAGCCAGGCGCTGGTGGCTCACACCTGTAATCCTAACTACTCAGGAGGCTGAGATCTGAGGATCTCGGTTTAAAGCCAGCCAGGGCAGGAAAGTTCATGAGATTCTTATCTCCAATAAACAAAAAGAAAACTGGAAGTGGCACTGTGGCTCAAGTGGTAGAGCGCTTGCCTTGAGCTCAAGAGCTGAGGGATAGAGCCCAGACCTAGAGTTCAAGCCCCATGACTGACAAAACAAAACAAAAAGAAGTCCCCTTTTTTTGGTTTGGTACATGGCTGGAACTCTATGCCTGGGAAAAGTTACTATTTCTCAGTTTGTTTTCCCCTCCCTCCCTTGCTCCTTTTTTTCCTTCCTGCATTCCTTTCCTCCCCCTTCTCCTCCCTCCCTCCTTCCCTTCCTCTCTCTCTCTCTTTTCTTTTTTTTTTCTGCCTGGTCTGAGGCTTGAATTCATGGCCTAGGGTGCTGTCCCTGAGCACTTCAAGGCTAGCACTCTAGCACTTCAGCCAGCTCTACTTCTGGGTTTTGTTTGTTTTTCAAGGGGGGTGTTTGTTTTGATGGTTAATTGGAGATAGTGAGTCTCATGGACTTTCCTGTCCAGGCTGACTTCAAACTGGGATCCTCAGACCTTAGCCTCTTGAGTAGCTAGGATAACAGGCATGAGCCACTGGCACCCAGCTTGCTTGCTTTCCTTCGTTCCTTCGTTCCTTCCTTCCTTCCTTCCTTTCTTCCAGCTTTCTTTCTTTAATTAATTAATTAAATTTGTTTGAGCTGCAACTTTTTTCTTGTTATTATAAAGATAATATACAAAGGAGTTACAGCTACTTAAGTCAAGTAAAGAGTACATTTCTTTTTGGACAGTGTCATCCCTCTCCCCCACCTCCCCCAGTTTTCCCCTCCTGTCCCCACTCACAAATTACAGAGTTCATTTTCAACACAGTGTCTAGTGAATACCACTACTGCATTTGTTCACCTTTTTGTTCCTCCATTTCTATGACTTTCTTTTTAAAATATTTTTTTCTTTTTGCCAGTATAGGGCTTGAACTTAGAGCCTTGTACTATCATTTGTCTTTTTCACTCAAAGCTGATGATCTGCTACCTGAACCACAGCTCCATTTCTAGCTTTTTGTTGGGTAATTGGCAATAAGAGTCTCATAGACTTTTCTCTGCAGGCTGGCTTCAAATCAGGATCCTCAGATCTCAGTTACCTGAATAGCTAGGATTACAGATGTGAGGCACAGTACTCAGCTAATTTTCAGTTCTTTTTTTTTTTTCTGGAGTTTGAATTCAGGGTCTGGGCACTGTCCCTTAGCTTTCTCTCTCCAGCCTGGCATGCTACCACTTGAGCCACAGCTCCACATCCAACTTTTTAGTGATTAATTAGAGATGAGAATCTCATGGACTTTCCTGCCTAGGCTGGCTTCAAACTTCAATCCTCAGACCTCAGCCTCCTGTGTAGTTCGAACTACAGGTATGAGCCACCAGCATCATGGTTATTTCTCAGCTCTTTTTCTCATCCCTGCCACCGATTCACAATATTTGAGTGCCTCAGTTCTTGCCTTACTTCCTCTCTCACAACTTTCTATGTATGTAGAGCATCTGGTCTCTTGTCAGCTTACTTCCAGGTCTGGCTCCTTTCTGCCCACCCTGGTACCAAAGGAAGGCATTCCTTCTAGGGGAGGAGCTACCGACCCAGACCCCTCAGCTTTCCCTGCACTCTGCTCGGCCCATGCAGTGGGGGCAGCCAGATTCTGACAGGGCCCAAAGATAGCTGAACTACTGGCACCCAGCCCAGCTGGTGAGACCTCCCAGCTGGAGGAGTCCTGGCCTGACTCCCAGCCAAACCTCCTCTCCTGGGCCCTGTGCCGCTGTATCTACTTCCACCATCGAACTGCAGGACTCAGAGCTCCTCCTTGCCTACAGCATCTGCAGATTTGGAATTCTGTACTACACAAGGAATTCATGGATAGGAGACACTGGGCCACAGTGGAAGGAGATGGTGCAGATCTAGGAAATAGATCTGGGGTTGGAAAGCAGGGACTGGCTCCTATAGTCTGGACAGCATGGTGCTTCCCTCCATTCCTTACTCCACTGAGGCAGGACTTCTACCTCTTCTCGTCTGACTTGTCTCCTGCCCTTAATTCCTGTCACACTGTGGGCCATCACATGACTGTGTCTTGAATATTGTATGCATCAGCAAGCTTAGCCCAGCATGTGGCATATGTTCAATAAAGACTAAAAGTCTTTAAAGCCAGTATCTTTTTCTTAAGAAAAAACAAGAACTTACTTAGTACCAGGCAGTTTGCCGAATGTTTTCTATGAATTACTTCATTTAGATAACTAGGCAATGCTGTAGAGAGTGTTATTGTTTATAATTGGGGAAACTCAGGCATAAAAGAACTTGTCCAGGATCACTCAGGGAAAGGCATAGGTGGTGGGATTTGACATGGGAGCACAAGGTCTGTCTTGGTAGGGAGAACTGGCTCATCAGCTCAACAACCACAGAGCCCCAGCCACAACCAAGCCAGGCTGCTGTCTCATCGTTCACAGTGTTCAGAGGGAAAGGAGGCTGGGAACAGAGCCGTCCACACATGCGCCTAGTCTCTCCATCCACAAACCAGACAACCACGAACCAGTTACGAGCTGGGCACAGCAAACTAAACTCCCCCACTCTGGCTTCTATCTGGCGCGTCTCTCCTTCTCCAGAAGTCTCACCTCATTCTTCCTTGCAAGCGAATGTCTCCTCCTTCAAGATCCAGCCAAGGCCTTTGCCCCAGGGACTTTCCTCCCTTCATTTCTACTAGCTCATAGTTGAAGCTCCAGATATGTGTGTGCTTTTGGCTAATTACACCCTTTAGTCTTAACATACAGCACCTGCTTCCAGCTCTGGCATTTATAAGCTGTTGATATTAAGAGATTAATGTATAAGAGATAAGTTTGTGTCTTATAAGCTCACTCTTTAAAAAAAAAAGTCTGTAAGCCGGGCACCAGTGGCTTGTAATCCCAGCTACTCAGGAGGCTGGGTTCAAATCCAGCCAGGGCAGGAAAGTCTGTGAGATTCTTACCTCCAATTAACCACCAGAGAACTGGAAGTGGCGCTGTGGTTAAGTGTTAGAGCTCTCACCTTGAGCCCAGGCCCACAGTTCAAGCCCACGACCACCACCCCAAAAAAGTCCATAATTGTATCCTGCTTCATATAATAGATTAATTTTATTTATTTATTTCTTGCCAGTCCTGGGGCCTGAACTAAGGCCTGGGCACTGTCCCTGAGCTTCTTCTGCTCAAGGCTAGCACTCTAGCACTTGAGCCACAGTGCCACTTTCAGCTTTTTCTATGTATATGGTACTGAGGAATTGAACCCAGGGCTTCATGCATGCTGGGCAAGCACTCTACCACTAAGCCACATTCACAGCCCTGAATTTTATTTTTTAATGGATGAATTTTAAAAAGAATGAAGGCACATAAAGTTTTTGTGAATCCAAATCCTGTTTTTCATCAATGTATGTTTGAGATGCTTTACCTTATTCAAAATTGCTATAAAAACCATGGGCCCTAATAGCTAAGGAATAAGCTCTGCCCGAGGCAGAGCAGTAACCCACACACAGCTCCCAACACGCTCCTGCACACTTGTATATTTTTAAAAGCATGCTTGATGTCCTCTTGTAAAACCAGTAATCACCTTTAATGTGTAGATTTTCATGCTCCAATTTTATAAACTAAAATTAATTTTGGTCTTTATATGTATAGTTAAGATCAAATAGAAAAAAAAAATAACTCAGCTGTGCACTGGCGGCTCCTGCCTATAATCCTAGCTACTCAGGAGGCTAAGATCTGAGGATTGCAATACAAGGCCAGCTTGGGCAGGAAAGTCCATGAGACTCTTATCTCCACATAAGCAACAACAAGAACAAAAAGCAAGAAATAGAGCTGGGGCTCAAGTGGTAGAGTGCTAGCCTTGAGCAAAGAAAAAGGTCAGGGACAGCACACAGGCCTTCAGTTAAACCAAAATCAAATCATTTACTGCAACATGCCATCTACCTCTTTTTACCCCTTCTCCCTGAAGGAAACCACATTCAGTTCTTTTGGGCTCAGCAATTTTCTGTTCCTTGTGCAGTCAGAGTTGGAGCCCTCAAGCCACAAAGCTTCAGTGAAAATACTCCTCAGACCAGGTTAAAAACGACAGCCAGCAGCAGGCAGGAAAGTGGTCTGACAGTCAGCACACTCAGCTCAGTGGCTACTGGAAGAAGCTGCCCACATGTGGTCTCCAGCAGTGATTCTTTCATCACATATCTGGTTCAGTGATGTTGAATCAGCGTAGGCTGCGGTTTTAGGGCTATTTAGAAAGCCCTGATACAGAAGGAAGGGGAGCAGAAGGTATCAGATCCCTGTGACATAATGCTAAACTAATCTGCCTGGGATTTCCATAGCCACATTCCTCTATTGCCAGTCCTAAGTGCGTGCACACACACACACACACACACACACACACACACACACATGCGTGCATGCGTGTCTGTGTGTGTGTGTGCCCCTGGGTGCATGCACATGTACCACTTACTTGTGCAGGACTTTTCATCTGGATTAAGAGCAAATCCTTGGCGGCAGCGGCACAAGTAGGAGTTATCAGCATTTACACATTCATGTTCACACCCATGGTTTTCCAAAGCACAGTAGTCCACAGCTGCAGAAAAAAAAAACAACATAATCAATGTGTAATTAGTAACACAGAGACAAAAGGATTCTGGAAGTACTCTTACAACACTTATATCACTATTAATATTATTGCACCCTCAAAAGTATGGATAAATGTTGGTGCTTTGTATGTCCCTCCCCCACGGCATAACCCCTGTTTTCACTGTATTTAATGTTGGTATAATTTGTGGAGGGGAAGGGAAAAAACAAATCGTTTAAATAGAGATACAGGTAGACCCATTGCAACAATGAGATGTACAAGTCGTTATGTCGAAAAACAAACTTTACAATTTAGGCTGGGGGTAGGGGGGTGGGGGAGTAGTGGGGTGGTATGTGGGGGGGAGCTGGGAAGGGGAAACAAAGGAGGAGGCAACGACGCTTAATAAGAAATGTACTCATTACCTTGCCCATGTAATTGTAACCCCTCCGTACAGTATTTTCACAATAAAAAATAATAATAAAAGTATGGATAAATGAATATGAACTCAAGGTCCTTGAAGAATATAAAGTCAAGAATATATAAACAGCTGGGCACTAGTGTCTCACTCCTAAAATCCTAGCTACTGAGGAGACTGAGATTTGAGGATCAAGGTTCAAAGCCAGCCTGGGCAGGAATGTCCATGAGGCTCTTATCTCCAATTAACCACCAGAAAACTGGTGCTGTGGCTCAAGTGGTAGAGCACTGGCCTTGAGCTAAAGAGCTGGGGACAGCACCCAGGCCCAGAATTCAAGCCCCAGGACCAGAGTGAAGTAAGCCAGGCGCAAAGAAACATAGGTCCCATGGTTTCCCTTATTTGCAATAACTAGTATATGTATGAGACAAGCAGAAAAGGTCAGATAAGCTGATGTTAGGTGAAATGAACCCCAAGATAAGGACTCAAATGTTTTTTCTTTCATGGGATTGTTTCTAACATATTTATAAGATTATTTCTTTATTGCTTTGTATGTCCCTCCCCCACAGTATAACCCCTGCTTTCACTGTATTTGATGTTGGTATAATTTGTAGAGGGGAAGGGAAAAAACAAATCGTTTAAATAGGGATACAGGTGAACCCATTGTGACAATGAGATGTACAAGTCGTTTTTGTGGAAAAATGAACTTTACAACTTTGGCCCAGGAGGGGGGGAGGGAGATGGAAAGGGAGGGGAAGGGGAAATGAAGGAGGAGGCAACAATGCTTGATAAGAAATGTACTCATGGAAGTGGCGCTGTGGCTCAAGTGGTAGAGCGCTAGCCTTGAGCTGAAGAGCTGAGGGACTGCGCCCAGGCCCAGAGTTCAAGCCCCACGACCGACAAAAAAAAAAAAACTATAAAGAAATGTACTCATGCTGGGCGCCAGTGGCTCACGCCTGTAATCCTAGCTACTCAGGAGGCTGAGATCTAAAGACTGTAGTTCAAAGCTAGCCTAGACAGGAAAGTCCATGAGACTCTTATAATAAACTACTCCAAAAAAAGCCAGAAGTGGTGTTGTGGCTCAAGTGGTAGAGCACTCTCCTTAAGCAAAACAAGCTCGGGGACAGTGCCCAGGCCCAGGACCGGCAATAAATAAATAAATACACTAGTTACTTAATTAATTAATAATAAAATCCAGAGAAAAAGAGGAGGTAAGCCTAGCATGCCATGTGGATCTAATGCCTCCTGCTTCCATTCTTCCTGCATCAGGCCTTTCTAAATAGTCCTAAAACCACAGCCTACTCTGAGGACTCTGGCATAGGCATGGCTAAGGATGGCACCGTCATAAACTGAGATGGAGAATGTGCAGCCGAAGCAGGTTTGTGGGTGAAGACCAGGAGTTCCACTGTGACATTAGACCAACATTAATGATGTCATTATGACATGAGTGCAAACAGGAAAACAGATAAAAATCAAACCTGAATGTCCATGCAGATGTACAACTTTTTTTTTTTTTTTTGTCCATCATGAGGCTTAAACTCTGTCTAGGCCTGGGTGCTGTCCCTCAGCTCTTCAGCTCAAGGCAAGCACTCAACCACTTGAACCACAGCGCCATTTCCCATTTTCTGGTGGTTAATTGGAGATGAGAGTCTCATGGATGGTCCTGCCTGGGCTGGCTTTGAACTGTGATCCTCAGATCTCAGCCTCCTGAGTAGCTAGGATTATAGGCATGAGCCACCGGTGCCTAGCCCCAGATGTACAACTTTTAAAAAGAAAATTGTGTATGGAGAAAATAGTGACAAATTTAATATACTAATTAAAAGACGCAATGGGAGAAGCTAAAACTTATTAAAGGGTTATAGTCTGTGCTATGTTTATGCTTTTGCTCTCAAGCTTTATTATCTTTAAATTCCAAGTGTGGTGGCACACAACAGTAATCAATAAACTTGGGAGGCTGAGGCAAGAGGATTTTGAGTTTGGAGCCAGCCTGGGATAATGAGACTGACTCAAAAAGAAAGTTTTGTCTGAGTGCTGATGACTCCCACCTATAATCCTAGCTACTCAAGAAACTGAGATCTGAGGATCGAGGTTCAGAGCATCTTAGGCAGGAAAGTCTATGAGGCTTCTCCTACCACCCCCCCCCCAATTCCTGGGGTTTGAACAGCCTGGGCACTGTCCCTGAGCCTCTCTGTGCTCAAGGCTAGCACTCTACCACTTGAGCCACAGCACCACTTCTGGCTTTTTCCATGCTTCATGCATGGAAGGCAAGCCCTCTACCATTAAGCCACCTTCCATGTCCCTGAGACTCTTATCTCCAATTAACCATCCAAAAAAACGCCAGAAATGGAGCTGTGGCTCAGGTGGTAGAGTACTGGCCTTGAGCAAAAAAGATTAGGGACAGCACCTAAGTCCTCTATTCAAGTCCTAGGATTGCCACTCCCATTAAAAAAAGTTTCAGTTTAAAAAAAAAAAAATATATATATAGGGCTGGGAAGGTGGCTGAGTGGTAGAGCGCTTGCCTTGCATGCATGAGGCCCTGGGTTTGATTCCTCAGCAACACATAAGCAGAAAAAAACAACAACCCAGAAGTGGCGCTGTGGCTCAAGTGGTAGAGCGCTAGCCCTGAGCTGAAGAGCTAAGGGACAGGCCCAGAGTTCAAGCCCCACGACCAGACCCACCCAAAAAATATATATATGTATATACATCTATCTATCTATCTATATATATATATATATATATTCACCTCTCTAAACAGTCTAACAGTACCTAATATTTGTAGGTTTAATACATAAGTTGCTATGGTGGGAATAAGATACTCATATTGTCTGAAGACCTCAATGTCATGGGATATTAGCCATTGTTGAACTAATTCAATACTTTAATTGAACTAGCAGCAAATCCTTCTAAAAGTTCATTTCCCAACTCTTAAGAATGAATGAGAGATTACTGGACAGATGAATGGCGAGGTTGAGGACACAGAAATGAAGGAACAGCAAGCCCCGACACAGCCCTCAATCTGTATGTCAGGAGTTGATCTGGCTTTGTCAGCTGTTGGAAATCCCCACCTTCAACTTCTTCCTCCTGGGGCTTGACTACCATCTTGAAAACTTCCCATCCTCTAATGAGAGTGTCTTCTGTCAGTCAGCTGGGACTATCTTTAGCCACTCACATTTTAGTGTCCTGTCCAAGAAAGGAGTTGCTAGTCTAACTTGAAACTTCTTCAAAATTGATGGTGTTACAATGACGAGTGGTCAGGTCATTAATCAAAAAGACAGAAACCCTGGTTCTACTTCTCTCTCAAACTTCTCTTTTATCTCATGTAGTGGAATTTCTAAACCCAGCAATTTCTATCCCTCAGAGTGACAACCCGTAATTATGCTGGCCCATAATTTAGATTGGAGAGAAGTCAAAGGTTTTGCTTAAGCATCAAATTGAAGCCACCCGTTCAGAGCTCACCTTTCCTTTGAATGCTCTAAAATATCCAATAGTGGCCTGTGTATTTAAAAGAAAAGTTATACATGTTTTTGTTTTTGTTGTTGTTTTGGGTTTGCTTTGAAATCAGGGCCGTGGAGCTAGCCTTCAGCCTTTTCTCTCATAACTAGCACTATTGCTCTATTGAGCAATTTGCTTGAGCAAAAAAGATAAGGGACAGCACCCAGGTCCTGAGTTCAAGTCCTAGGTTTGCCACTCCTATAAAAAAAAGTTTCAGTTAAATGTGTGTGTGTGTGTGTGTGTGTGTGTGTGTGTGTATTCACCTCTCTAAACAGCACTATTGGGCTTTTTTCTGGTTAACTGGAGATAAGAGTTTCACAGACTTTCCTGCCTGAGCTGGCTTACAACCATGATCCTCAGATCTTAGGCATAACCCACTTACGTTCAGCCATTTATGTCCATTAAATACAAATAATTAAAGTAGGTTTGCATATGTTGATTTTCAGGGTCTCCCCCCTCAATAGCATTTTCTATGAATCAGCCATTTTCTCAGGTCATTATGGCTTCTCCTGGCCTTTGATTCTCATGCTGCTTTTGTTCTTTGTGTGCACAGCACTCTGAATTGAGGACGAGAAAGGCAAGGTTCAAGTATTTCTGGGGCTAAGACACTGGCTTATAAAATTCCACAGTAATACATCCCTCTACTATAGCTCAGGGCCAGGCCACTGGGGACATGAGCTAAGATCTGCAGTGTAGCATCAGGATATGGAAGAACCAGTTTCCTAGCATGTGAACCTTAAGGTGTTTTTAAGGCCTTGGGAAATTCTAATCCATTCAGCTCTGACATCCTTTGCCAAATGCCTTGAGTTCATTACATAATTTTCTTGGTTGCAAAATTGTGAAAAAGAGGCAAAAGTTAGGGGGCAGATGTATGGAAGTGACCTTAGGGTATAAGTCAGCAATGTCTCTATTGTTGCAAGTCTGCATCTCCTTCAGCAAAACCCTCTCTCAGTCATTTTTGCCTGACATTCCTTCATACTCCTTCACAAATGGAAAGAGCACAGTAATGCCCTGGCAGTCACCCCAGATCACAAAGTACTAAGATCCCACAGTCGGAAGTCAGTCTTGCCATGGTCAGCCTCTGTCCAAAGAGTGAGAAATCATTCAGCTGTCTTCAAGGATAAAAGATACTTGGTTCAAGGTAATAAAAAACAAGATTGATATTTCTATTTACAATCTGCTCACATTCAAAGGATTTCTCAGCAGGGATCAATCTGTAGAAACAGCTTTTTTTTTATTTTTTTGCCAGTCATGGGGCCTGAACTCTGGGCCTGGCCACTGTCCCTCAGTTCTTCAGCTCAAGACTAGCGCTCTACCACTTGAGCCACAGCACCACTTCTGGCTTTTTCTGCATATGCGGTGCTGAGGAATCGAACCATTGAGCTACCTTCCCAGCCCGAAACAGCTATTTTAAAGAGTAATATTTGGATTTTAAAGCTTGTTAATAATAAAGTAAAAAAAAAAAAGATGCATTGTTTCAAGAAACTAAAGAGTCAATTTAGTTGCTGAGCATATGTTAGAAACACCCATGGAGTCAGACTTACCAAATCTCTCCTTCCCATGGAATGAATGCATTTATGTCAGACTGAAAAACTCAAGAGAACCATGGCTCACACCTATAATCATAGCTCCGCAGAAAGTTGAGGATTGCAGTTCAAAGGCAGCCCAGACAGGAAATTCCATGAGACTCTTATCTCCAATTAACTACCAAAAAGTTGAGTTTGCAGGTGTGGTTCAAGTGGTAAAGCACGAGACTTGAGAATTTAAAAAAAAGCTCAGAGACAACACCCAGACCCCAAGTTCAAGTCCTAGTACTGGCACAAAAACAAACAAAACAAAACTAAACAAAAAAAACTCAGAGAAGATGTGTTATAGATTTTTATAACAAAGGAGAGTGGTATGGGATGAGTTACACCCTCCCCAATACCTGAAAATGTAACTGTATATGAGGACGGGGTGTCCACAGAGGATATTAAAGTAAAATGAGTTTGTTAAGAATAAAACTGGTACTCTACCACTTGAGCCATACCTTCAGGTCAGCATTTTGCTGGTTAACTGGAGATGGAGATTCAGACTTATTTGCTTGGACTGGCTTTAAACCATAAAGCTCTGTTCTCAGACTCTCGAGTAGCTAGGATTGCAGTTGTGAGCCACTAGCACCCAGCTTCCTTTTATTTTTCCTTTTGGCCATACTAAGGTTTGAACTCAGGACCTTGCAGTAGCTAGAGAGGTACTTTAACTACTGAGCCATGCCTCCAGCTCTGTGGTTTGCTGGTTATCCCTGCTTAACTGTATACTTGGGCCATCATTCACCTATCTTAGGGTTCCCATTATAGCTAGGATAACAGGCATGTGCCGCTGCACCCAGCTGTGGGTTCAGAAAGAGACTCATGAACTTTTCTTCATGGGCTGGCTTTGAACCACAATCCTCCTGTTCTCAGCCTTCCAAGTAGCTATGATTACAAAAATGAACCAATGGTACCCGGACTGAACTTTTAAAATTGAATAGTTTAGACCTACTATGTCTACTTTTTTTTTTTAACCACCCACTCTCTATGTGCCATTACCCTTTATTTGATCTCTCCAATCCTTTTCTGGATCACTATCAACAGCTTCCTGGATGTCTTTGTGTCCTTCATGTTTGGTAGAACATATGGCGAGAGTTTAGAGGTGTTTGCTGAATTATTCAGCCTTATGGCTTTTGCTCCAAGTTCTATTCCCTTTGGCCTTGTGGAAACATGACACTTCTGTCATGTTGGGGCTGTGTTTTCTGCTTGTTCTGACATGTTCATTTAGCCTTGCCTAAAAATTCCCCTTGCCTAAAAAATGATTCTTTCTAAAATCTCTTTCTGCCTCCATTCTCTCACCGATCAATCAGACCTGCCTGCCCTGCTTCCTGAAGCTCACCCTACGCCCTCCTCACAAGGGCCCAGTCAGTGTCTTTACTCAATAGCTCCCAACGTTTCTATCCACTTAACAACTGTTCTCGGAAGGGAAAGAGAGGATCACAACAAAAGCACCATGAGTTCAGCTCATAAATGCTTTGAAGTGGAAATGGTGTCTTAATCTAGACAGCTGGGCCCTCGATGGTCACTAGGACCTGTCATTGAACTGGCCCAATGCAAGGAAGACTTGCCAACAACTTGAAGCATCTCACAGCATCCTTATCCAACACTGAGTGAAACTCATGAGCTATATTTAAGTCAGGCCATCTCATAAATGTGCTCCAAATTTGAGGAAAATCCACACAACAATATGGTAACAGACATTTATATATACATAAATTATCTGACTTCAATCAAAAATGAAGTTCAGGGCCAGGCATGGTAGGTCAAATATATAATCCCAACTACCTGGGAGGGGCCAATAGTAGGATCACAGTCTGAGGCCCATCGAGGCAAAAGTGCAAGACCCTATTTGAAAAATAAAACTAAATGCAAAAGGACAGGTGACATGTCTCAAGCAACAGAGCACTTGCCTACCAAGCTCAAGGCCTGGAGTTCAATCCTCAGTACTGCCAAAAACAAGTTCAATGTTCCCCTAACTATACCTAGGTATAAAGAGCACTTTGTTGAAACCCAAAGGAGAATTACTGTGTATGTGGGAGGTAAATAACCCCCTTCTCTGCTTCCTTGGCCACCTGTCCTCCTTTACTAAGAAGGCGAGAGGATACTCACCCACACACCTTTTCCCGTCCTCAGCCAGGGTGTAGCCACTGTAGCACTGGCAGACAAAGGAGCCAGGCACATTCACACAGAGCTGCTCGCAGGCATGGTCCTCCGTGGCACATAAATCCTGGACTGGGGCAAAATTGCATCATTAGAACACAGCTCTAGAGAAGCTTCTGCAGCACTTGCTAAAGTAACTTGTAAAAATATTTTAACTCTTAATATGGGATCCTGTGTAGAAAATACATAAAATAAAATTCCCTTTGTCCTGACCACCCAGAGGTAACCAACCACTTTTCGCCTTTTGGTGAGTTTGTGTGTGTACAAAAACATTTGTCAGCCAGGGACTGGTGGCTCATGCCTATAATCCTAGCTCCTCAGGAGGCTGAGATATGAGGATCATGATTCAAAGCCAGCCCAGGCAGAAAAATCCCAGTGAGACTCTTCTCGCCAATTTACCACTTAAAAACTAGAAGTGGTAGAGCACTAGCCTTGAGTAAAAGAGCTCAAGGACAGTTTCAAGCACAGCCGATAAAAACAAAACAAAACAAGCCTGAAATCTTAAAGAAAATCAAACTGAAATGTTGGAAATGAAGAGCTCAATAACCCAAATTTTAAAAAAAAAAAAGCACTGAAGGGGCTGGGAAGATGGCTCAGTGGTAGAGCGCTTGCCTTGCATGCCTGAGGCCCTGGGTTTGATTCCTCAGCACCACATAAGCAAAAACAAAAAACCGGAAGTGGCACTATGGCTCAAAGTGGTAGAGTGCTAGCCTTTAGCTGAAGAGCTGAGGGACAGTGCCCAGGCCCAGAGTTCAGGCCCCACGACCGGACCAAAAAACAAAAACAAAAAAACACTGAATCAAAAGCCTAGCTAATAGAAGAGATGATGCTAAAAGTAGAGTATGAAGAGTTGAAGATAAAAACAGAGGAAGCAGATCGAAGAACTGGGAAAAAAAAAAAACACTCGATACAAATGAGCTGGGCACTCTAAAAAATGCAAATGAAATTTACAGAACCTCTCAGACTTCATCAAAAGACCACATTTTTGTTTCATAGGTATAGAAGAACAGATACAAACTAAAGGGACTGAGAACTTATTCAATAAAGTAATAGCAGAGAACTCCAATTTCAAGAAAGAAGTCATCCATGTAGAAGAGACCTACAGAACACAAAACAGACAAAATCAAAGAAGAAACACTCCTAGGTACATTATAGGTAAACTATCAAATATACAGAATAAAGAATATTGAAAGCTGCAAACGAGAAGAGGCAAGTTATTTACAAAGAGTTAATTATAAGCTTAGGCCATAGAAATAAGAAATAACAGAATCACAGGCTACTCATTCATTTATTCAATAATAAACATTTGTTGAGTTTCTAGTGTGGCCCAGGCATTGGGGTTATATTTGCAAATAAAATAGATGGGAATGTGGCTTGCATGAAGACGTGGATTCGATTCCTCAGTACCATAGAAAAAGCTGAAAGTAGCACTGTGGCTCAAGTGGTAGAGTGCCAACCTGGAGCAAAAGAAGGCAGGGACAGTGCCCAGTCCCTCAGTTTAAGCCCTAGGACTGGCAAAAAAACAAAAACAAAAAGACAAGGTATTGCAGTGATGTGACTTGTAGTCTACTAGGAGTTAGTGCTGAGAAACTACATAGTGTGGTTCTGGCTCAAAGAACAATAAATGTAGGGCTGGGATGTAGCTCAGTGGCAAAGCGCTTGCCTAGCAAGCACAACGTCCTGGGTTCGATCCCCAGTACCAAAAAAGAAAAGACAAAAAAAAATACAGTTAAAAAAAAAGAACAATAAATGTAAATTATTATTATTATTATTATTTTGGTCAGTCATGAGGCCTGAACTCTGGGCCTGGGCGCTGTCCCTCAGCTCTTCAGCTCAAGGCTAGCACTCTACCACTTGAGTGTCAGCCCTACTTCCAGCTTTTTCTGCTTATGTGGTGCTGAGAAACAGAACCCAGGGCCTCATGCATGCAAGGCAAGCATTCTACCACTGAGCCACCTTCCCAGCCCCTGAATGCAAATTATTGAGGTAGAACCAACTGGCCCAATTTAAGAAGTAAAAACCAGAATGGCTATCAGATGCACCTAAAAAACTAAAATGCCAGCTGGAATATGATGCCATCCCTGAGAGATCTCCAGCACTAAAAGAATAAACTAACAAACGGACAAAGAAGCAGAATAGGAAGTCCTGATGCTGAGGCATAAACTTTCCAGAAAAGCTGGCAGGATGTTTGTCAGGCTCCCCCAAAGTCTCCAGTGTACAGCCAGGAGAGAGCCATTGGACCCAATGGCTAAGATATCCCCAGAGTCTGAGGGAAAGATGCCAAGACCCAGGAGTCAATCACTCACCATTATCAGAGATCCCAAGACTCAAGTCCCCCCCCCCCTTGAAACAAGACTCAGAGCAATGGCTACTCTTGTCCCTTCTTGGAATGACCAAAAGAACCCATAAGGATGCAGGGTGAATTAGGACTTGAATTTCAGGATTGTCCCACCAATAGAAGAGAGCTTGCCAGTTGGCTCCTTGTGGAACCTCCTTTCATGCCATTTCTCGAATGTTGGGGATTAACGGCCACGGGTGATTTATTGCAACTCAAGGGAAACCATTGAGAGACCAATCTAATTAAACAAAGATGGAGCAGTAAATACAGAATGGGTCCTGACCAAACAGCTTTGCTGTTTTCCTGGCAGTGGTCACTTCCATTTGAAACAAGTACAGATGTTTTTGGATGATTCCTTGCACTTTTGAAAAACAGCATTTTTCTTTCATAGAGCCGGGAAGATTCCACTGCAAAATGATAAAAAAAAAAACCAGCAGGGGATGGGGGAAAGGGATGGGGAAGGCATTGGCTTCACAGTTCTCTTATCCCTAACCCACACAGCCTTCCCCTTCTCAGGATTGACTGTCTGCCCCAGTAGAGCATAAGCTGGTCTACTACTCCATTTTGATTCTCCAGAGCCTAGCACAGTGTCCAAGTGCATTCAATGAGTGGTCCATAAGTGTTCATTTGCTAAAGGAACAGTAACAAAAACCTACATGCTCTGCCTCCCCAAGCCTAAAAACACTCCCTGCAATAGAAATTGGGCCCTGGGAAAAAATGAGGTAAACCCACTAGAGGTAGGTTTAAAGGCCAAGGATACCTAGGTGCCAGCCCACAGCTACAGACCCTGAGAAAACTAGCAACGTGGTCAGGAAGCCTGTACCTCACAAGCATGGTACAGCCTTGAACCAAGCACAGTGCCTGGCACATTGTAGTTCTTTACCAATATGTGAATGAATTAACACGGGCATGGCTGTGTTACACAAACACGGGCTGTCAGGTGTTCTAGGTCATCTCTTTTGTCCCTTTTAGCTAGGCCTCAAGCTCCATGTGAGTCAGGATCATTTCTCTCCTAATTCAAAGCATCACACATGTTTACTATAGTTGGTTTGATCTGACAGCTTCCTTCCTTCTGCCCTGGAACATTATCTCACAAATGAATTCTACTGGTCAGAGATGAGACAGCTGGGAAGGAGCCTAAAATGTTTAATTTCCCTTTGACAATGAAAAAAATAGCTAATTTTTACCTTGGAATTAAAGATGGTCATAAAAACTTGGAAGTCATGACCTCCTCTATCTCCTGCAATCCTTAAATCAAGCCAATTCTTCCTTTCTTCCTTTTTTTTCCTTCCTTCTTTCCTTCCTCCCTCTCTTTCTCTCTCCCTCTCTTTTTAAATAGTACTAGGGGGGGCTGGGAAGGTGGCTCAGTGGTAGAGTGCTTGCCTTGCATGCTCGAGGCCCTAGGTTAGATTCCTCAGCACCACATAAGCAAAAAGAAAAAAGCCCGAAGTGGGGCTGACGCTCAAGTGGTAGAGTGCTATCCTTGAGCTGAAGAGCTGAGGGACAGTGCCCAGGCCCAGAGTTCAGGCCCCACGACAGGACCCAAAAAAATAAAAATAAATAAATAAATAGTACTAGGGTTTGAACTCAGAGTCGAATGCTTGCTTAGCAGGCACTGTACCACTTGAACCATGTCCTCAGCCCTTTCTGCTTTGTTTATTTTTCCTAGTAAAACATATATTTATTTTTTTATTGTGAAAATACTGTACAGAGGGGTTACAAATACATGGGCAAGATAATGAGTACATTTCTTATCAAGCACTGTAGCCTCCTCCTTTGTTTCCCCTTCCCGTCCCTTCCCATCCCCCCCCCCCCGCCCCCCCCCCAATCCTCCTCCCTGCTTTGGTTATTTTTCAAGTAGCATTTCATTCATTCGCCCCTGGCTGGCTTCAGATCACAACTTTCCTAAGTTATACCACCTGCAGAGATGGAATAACAAGCATGAGCTGCCACACCCAATCCCAGCCTAATCAATTCCCAGGTCCAACTGGTCACTTCTCACCACTCCTCAGCAGAGGTCTCCTGCCCAATATGAAGTTACCATATGTTGCTCAGACATCCGTGGTATCCCCTGCCTGATCTCCTGTAAGCTTTCCTGGTCTAAGTTTACCCTGTGGCTAAAGTTCATGTCTCTCTTCTGCCTAAAAGTCGAAATGGCTTCCCATTTAGACAAACCTTCTAATGGGAATCTGGATACTGTATGATCTACCTTCTTACCACTCAAAACTAAGCTTATACCTTTCTTGTTTTCTGTCTTTGTACCTTTTCCTCTCCACTCTCCAAGCTTTCTCATGCCTCAGGACCTTTAAAGATTCCATGTTTTCCTATATAAAATTCTCACACTAATGTCTTACCTCCTCTTCACCTAATTCTTATAGATCTTTTAGGATTCGATTCAAAGGGTATGTTCTCTGAGGATGTTAGTGCCATGAGGGGTCAAGCCCTTCCTCATGATTTACTTTTATCATCCTCATCACAATTATAATTCAAGGCTTAATTTGCAACTGATTATTCATGGCTATTGCCCCTGCCATATAAGGACAGCCCTGTCCTCATGAGGGTTTAGTCTTGTTTAGGCACGCCAACTCAAATATCTAGCATAGTGCTTGACATGTGGCCAATTAAAGAATATTGGTGAATTCACTGAATTGGTGAATCACTAACCTATGTGTTCATTCAGGAAATTGATCAATACATCTAAGGAAAGAGAGTGAATACCTAAGACCACAAAAGG